TGTCGTTTATGTAAGAAAATGAAATAAATATAGAAATTCTGGACTATTTAGTCAACATTCTCATTAACTTTGCAAACTTAACGCATTAATTATTCATTTATGTGTATTTTAAGATATGTTAATTTATTAAATTATTATATTTAATTTATTTTATTATAAAACACAATCCTTACATACTATCCTTACATATCCTTACATACTATATCCTTACATATCATCATAATCAGCAATAAGAAAATAAATCTTATTATGTTATTATTATTATTAAGCGCATTCTATGTGTATATATAGATATAAACAATTTATACAACTTTTTACATTCCCAATCCAATTATTTCTCTTAAGATTTTACCCAGTGTTGCAGAAAGAATTTTTTCAATAGATAATTTTTTGTTTGAGACATACCTTAAAAATAGTTTCTCGTTTGAGATGAATATCCACACAACACATGTTTTTTAGACGTCCTCAAAAGGTCTGGTTATGTCCTGATGTCTTAAACGTCCATAGAACGTCCGAAGGGCGTTCTGCTTTTAGCGTAGCAGTAGGGCGTCTATAAGACATCCGAAAGACATTCGGGATTGGATCACAAAATTCAATATTACAAGTGTGTTTAATATATTTCTGACATACATTATGAACGTACACTTGAAATTCGAGCTTTGATGATCTTTACATTAAATAAGACATTTTGAAGATGTTTTAAGGACATCAATTAAATGTCTAAAGGACGTCTGTTGTATGTCCCGGGAATATCCCCTATACATGTAAGCGTTGAATATTATTGTTATCATAATCATTGATATCGTTATTATTATTGTTACTATTATTCAGGATTGGGTAACGCCAAGTTAAAAAGATAAAAGTTAAGTTAAAGAGTTAAAAAGTTTATTAAATTTAACTTAACTTAGTTACATTTTAGACTCTTAATTTTTTAACTTAATTTAGTTATATTTTATCGGTAACTATATATATTAACTTTTAAGTTGATTTTTTTTAAGTCAATCCTCAGATACAATGCGAGAGGTTAATGAGTATATAATTTTGTAATTTTATATTATATAATCATTACTTGTGAACAAAAATAACCAGATTCTTTAATAAATATGCTGAGAAAGAAAAAATACGAATAATTGTGTAAAGTGGTCAAACTTTTCTTTTTCTTTTAATTGTTCGTTCGTACAAATTTAACTTTTAACTTTTCAATTACTTTTTTTATTAACTTAACTTTTAATTCAATTAATTTCATTATGGATTAACTTGTATTTTAATTAAGTTAAATTTTCAAGGCCGTTAACTTTAACTTAACTTAGTTAAAAACAAAAGTTAACTTAACCCTGCTATTATTACTATTATTGTCATTATTGAATCGTTAATATAGTGATATGTTGACATACAATCATAATAACAGTACAAAATATGTATAAAATTAATTCAAGTAATTACATTATTAATTTTATTGTAATTAATTTTATTTTTATAATAATTACATAATCATGGTCATTATATTAATGCTAAATAATAATCAAATATTACAATTGCATTATCTTAAAATACAATTTCTTAATTTAAGCAATAATAATAATAAAAACTACTGCTTGTAAAAAAATATCTTTTCGTTATTATCAGAAGACATTGTCCGCTGTTGACGTTGATCATGGCAGGGATGGAGTGTTGAAGGGTAGTGTTAGGTTAGTGTTAGGTTGTTGTTGTACCCTAACGGGCAGAATCCAAATGTTGAGAGAGTTAGAGAAATACAGATTGATCCTCAGCCCTTTCTTCCACTAATTCCTTCTCCTTCATTTACCTCACAAAGGAATGACTGGTTCGAGAATCTGTCAATCGTTTCCATACCTCCTAATATATTTTTTACAATTGGGAGATAACTTTGCCTTACCTTTGAACAATAGATTAAATTTAACGATCGATCTTATTAAGTGTATTGAAAGTAATATTTACAAATTGTCTATTGATCTCAATCTCGAACCACTCACTTCCTGTATTAAATAACTTAGCTTCTTGTTCCCTACATTATACGGAAGTAGATAGCAGTTTGTCACATCTAGCGAAAGACACTAGGGATTTTTTTAAGAGATATGAATGATAGGATTATTTTTACTCGAGCGGATAAGGGGAATGTGACGGTAGTATTGGATAGACAGGTGTACATTTCCAAGGTAAATGAGATGCTTCAAGATGTGAATAGTTATGAGGTAGTTGAAAGAGATCCGACGAGGAGGATGGTAACGGGTTTACGCGCTTTATTAGTTTGTTGGAAGGAAAAAAGTATATATCTAATTCCACATATAGAAGTTTGTTATGTAATGATAGAATACTTCCGAGGGCTCTTCCGAAGATATCAGTACATATGCAGGATTGCCCTTTTCGTATAATAGTTTCTTCGATAAATAGCACTTTGTATTCGTTAGCAGTGTTTCTTCATAATATTATCATTAAAATAATTCCTAAAGCAGATAGTTATATCGGAAATAGTTTTAAACTTGTTAAGGAACTTGATAGTAGACGTTTGAGCGATGAATTTCAGTTAATGTCATTGGATGTTGTGAGTCTCTTCACTAACGTTCCCATTGATTATGCGATGGACTGTATTACAGACCATTGGCGATTTATTTCTAGAAATTGTTGATTACCGGAGAGGGAATTCATCAAAGCGGTTCAGTATGTTTTAGATTCTACTTTCTATGTTTTTGATAATGTTATATAGGCAGAATTACGGGGCTCCTATGGGCTCTTCGTTGTCTCCGGTCATCGCGGATCTAGTTATGCGAAAGCTGGAGGTTAGAGCTTTGTCTTTGATTCGGTTTCCGTTGCCCTTTTACTATAGGTTTGTTGACGACATTATTGGCGGCACCTACGTCTTCGGTTAGTTCCATTCTTGATATTTTTAATTCTTAGCATCCTAGGCTTCAGTTCACTATGGAGGTAGAGGGTGACAGATTGAATTTTTTTGATGTTACAGTGATTAGGGATAATGAGTTGATAGAGTTAAATTGGTACCACAAGCCGACTTTTTTGAGTAGATATTTGAATTTTTGGTCACAAGCACCCGGTTTCTCAAAAAATAGATACAATCGCAGGATTAGTTAATAGAGTAGTTTTGCTTTCGAATCTTAAATTTCACCTTGATAATTTGTGTTTCACTATTAAAGTATTGTTAGAGAATGATTATCTATTGAACTTTATATTTGAGAATATTAACAATCGTTTGAAGAACATTATTATAGCTATATAGTAATACACGGAGAAAATTTTATATTTAAAATTATTGTAATGTGGTAGTAGCTGCGGTCTTCATGTAAATTATAAGTTTAAGTGCTATAGTTATTTTTTTTAAAACAATAATACAACGTAATTTTTACAAGATTTTTTTATTCGGACTGACAAGAATTAAACACTAAGTATAAGCGTATTCAGGCCTATGACGGTCAAAGCTAGATCTTTTTTTGCCTAAATAATTCCCAGTGAATTATCTATATGATATATATGCATGTACATATATAGGATATAGATGATTCACTGGGAATTATTTAGGCAAAAAAAGATCTAGCTTTGACCGTCGTAGACCTGAATACGCTTATACTTAGTAATTTTTACACTTTTTTATAATAAAAATTTTTTATTACAAAATCAAATCTTGTTGAATGAAAGTTAATATTGTAAAGATAAATAAAAAATATATACCTAGCAAATTTTGTTTGCGTACCATAGTAAAAATTAACTGTTTTCATGTTAGAATATGGCTTAACAAAATAATTACTTTATTTATGTGATAAAAATTCGTATTACCATAGTAAAAGTTAAGTTGGAATTATGTTGTAAGGGTCCATACGAAAATACAAGACATAGTAAAGTGTAATTTAAAATTATATTAAAACTTAATATAAAATTTTCTCCGTGTAGGAAGAGCGTTGTTAATGATAATAGGGTTGAAGTAGTGCAGCCTTCATGGTTCACTGTTCCTTTCGTTCGTGATATTACTGAGAAGTTTAGTAGATTGAATAACGAGCGTATCGTTTTATAGTACTAATAAATTTCGAGAATATTCATTAAGATGCATAAGGATCCTTTATCGCGTGACAAAAAGTCGAATGTTGTTTATAAGATTTCGTGTAAGAGTTGCGATGCAAGTTATGTGGGATAGACGTATAGACAACTGAGGTCAAGAATCACGGAGCATAAGAACCACATCCAATGAAACACGTTTACTTGTAATGTCATAACGGAGCATCGGTTATAAGAAGGCCATGATTTCGATTGGAACAACATTACAATACTGGACGAGGAGCCTCACTACAGGAAGAGATTGATTTCGGAGACGATATATTCATCAGGAGACAGACGCATGGACTCAATTTGCAGACGGATTTGGAGAGGCTTCCCAAGGCCTACCTTCCGATCATAGATAAGCTATAAAGGCTTGAGTTGTTGTCACGTCTAGTCAGTCAGTGTCGTTCGTACGCAGTAATGATTCACTGTGTCTGACTTTCTGTCGTGTTTATCGATTACTTTCCAACATTCTTTTTCTTGGAATTGATTAACACTTTAATGTTACATTTTTCCATTTGTTATCTCGGAAAATTACTAGATAAAAAAACAAAAAATAACTCACTGTGTCTGATACTAACTGGCCAACATTATCAGGAGCCGGTTCTTGAATTATTTTTATAGTAATGTTTGTGGTATGGTGTTCTGTGAGCATGGTGAGCGTCCTTATATTTGCTGGATAATTAATTATAATCTTAAAGTTGTTTGTTAAATTAGTTCTCTATATTCTATTTTTCGATATTTCCTAATTTCTTTTTTTTTCTTTTTCCTTTTTTTTTCATTCTTTTTGGTTTTAATTCCGACATTTAAATTCTTGATGTAGGAGAGCTCACCATGACAGGATAACTTTTATGCACAATTTATATATATTAGTTTATGTTGTCTCTGAGGAAGGCTCAAAAGTGAGTCAAAACATGTAAGCGCGCTTAGTGAATAAAGAAGTTTCACGCTTCATAAGTTTATTATTGTATATATAAGTTTTATTATTTGCGCGATGTCTTCTACGTCTGACTCCTAATGCCCTTATTCTTTCTAATTCTTTAAAAAAATATATCTGTATAAATTTTTTGATCATACACGCGATTCGAAACGTTTCGTTTGTTTAGTAAAAAATGATATTCTACGTAAAAATCATAAATTGGTATTACTGTTTCAATGCTGTTCTTACTCGTATTACAAAAAAGCATTATTGAGAATATTAACACTATTTTTACTGACAAATATTTTCTACTAAACAAACTCGTAATCGCGCAATACCCAGAGAATGGAATCGACATTCGATATTCATTCCATTATGATTTCTCATTAGGATATGTCTAAACAACGTCCATAAAAAATCCATTTTACGTCCTATCGAGACATCGTAACAACATCCACTGGACGTCTAAAGGCGATACATTGTACGTCATCGGGACATCTTTGATCCGGACGTCGAACGTCCGAACGAAATGTCCTATGGACGTCTAAAGGATCCATGTGCTGTGCTAATTTTAATAAACGATTTATTAATATTAATTTTACTGATCGTCACTTTTTTGCATAATAAATTTTCCAAAGAAGTACTGCATAAGTGATCGCGTGAAAAAAGAATATCCAAAAAGCAAGTATTATCAGAGTTACATAGAAAGGAACTGTCGGTATGCCCATCATCGTGAGAATCTTGTTTGGTGAACGCAAGTAACAGTAGATTTCTAAACACGTCAGATTCGGTCGATCAAGATAGATCGCTTGCATTACTCCTTCAAATGCGTATCTGCAATAAAATTTGCGTTTAAAACTGAAAATATACAGTGAACTGGAATTAAATAAAAGCGTATCTCCACACGGAAAGAAAAATAATTCTCAATAAATAACCGGTATAAATTAAAAATATTGTTTATACGGAAAAAATCATATTTATAGTAATAAATTTAAATCCCAAAAGCTTTTAATTAATAATCGTTGTAATATTAAATTGTACCTGAAAAAGCTCACATAGCTTAAAGGCTGCAAATACATCGACATTTCTTCTAATTTTGAAAAGAATCCAGCAAATAATATTAATGGTATACCAATTGCCGGTATTAAAAACATACCTATCTGAAAAGAAATTATACTTTTTTTTAGTTATCTAACATTTTTATATTAAATACCCAGAGAATGATATGTACAAAATGCGGACATAAGACGTCTTATGCCCGCATGTTGGACACATTGTTTTCTGGGTAGAAATCGAATTAAAGTTTGAATAGTGCATGCTCATTAATAAACTGGAAAATTTCTTATTAGAAATAAAACATCTGAGAAAAATATAATTTATTAATAATTTATTAACTTATTACTATTATAATTATATTCCAGATAGCAAATATGCGCGTTATTTTGATATTAAATACTAGGCGTGTATGCACTAATAACGTCAAAAGACCAAAAAATGACAATTTTATATGAGTCATTTTAATATTTTACTAAAGATTATTTTACATCATTATGCCACAATATTTCGTTCTTGCTCTGTGGAGTTTTACGTTTTACATTGATATTCAAACCTAAAAATAAGTTTTTTCTTTAAATTATTATTATTTTTGTTTGTTCATATTTACTGTTTGACTATAGGGGGTAACTCCGGTATATACGCCGCATCTATCAAAAACTTAATTTATTAAGTATTACTCGTATTTACTATGTTTATAGTAAACGAAACTATATCAGTAAAAACTTTGAAAAAAATATTAGAAGTCCGAAATATTTATTTTTCATATTAAAAAATAAAGTTTTTGAAACTCTTGCATTTTTGCTATATATCCCATAGGAGTGGGATATAGCTACTCATAATAATGCATATAAATAAGACGTATAATGACACAATAACTTATAAACCGTGTTTATAAAGTTTTACTAAGGAATAAGAATGGTAAATATGTATATGAAGTAATAAACAATAATTACAATCTTCCTACATATACAGGGTGGACCATCTGAAGTGATCCAGTCAAATATCTCGAAAACTAGTAGGGATAGAGAAAAATGTTTCGTATGAAAAGTTTAGGGTTACA